CTTGAACTCACAGAGATCCACCTGCTTCTGCCTCCCTAGTGCTTGGATTAAAGGCGTGCGCCACCACCGCCCAGCTGTTTCTCCAACTTGAATGCTTCCCCATTTCACTCTGCTGTGTCTGTGGTTTCAGGGCGCAGTGACATTTGGGGATGTGGCTGTTGACTTCTCTGAGGAGGAATGGGCCTGCCTGGATTCTGCTCAGAGGGCCTTCTACAGGGACCTGATGTTGGAGACCTACAGCAACCTGGTCACAGTGGGTAAGGCCATCTGTCCCCAGGAGTGGGGGACGTGTCCTCTACACTGTTGGCTTTCCTCACTCTGAGTGTAAAGACAGGGCCATCTTTCCTGTGGTAGCTGCAGCTGGGCTTGGTGACCCATTCCAGTCATTCCTTCACTCAGAAGGCTGAAGAAGGAACACTGCTGTGAGTTCAAGCTCACCCTCAGATACATAGTGAGTTCCAGGATAACCTTGCCTACAGGGTGAGGCCCAGTTTCACACAAAACAAAATAAATAAACTAAATGAAATAAATGAGGAAACAAATCAGCAAATAGAATTAAGGGCTACAGAGATAATTTGGTGTTTAAGAGAAGTAGGTCCTCTGCAAGAGGCTCCATTCCCAGGCCAACCAGTTAGCTCACAGCCATCTGTGACTCCAGTTGCAGGGGATCTGGTGCGATCTTGTGGCCTCCATGGGGACCGTGCATGCATACGGTACTCAGATGTACATGTGGACAGACCCATGGGCATAAAATAAAATCAATTTAAATTGATAGAATTGTAAAGCTGTAGCTGTAGCGCCTCCTTCCCAAGGGAATAATGTGGTATTTCCTTGGTTGAGACAGGAACTTCATAGAGCACCTGTTGTTTGTCCAGATCCTCTCAGTGAGTTCTGGGTTCAGAGAGAGACCCTGTCTCAAAAACAAAAGTGGGGAGCCATCAAAGATGACCCCTCACACTGCTCTCTGGCCTGTACACACACACACACACACACACACACACACACACACACACGCATGTGTGCCTACACACACTTGTGCCTAGACCCTCATAAAAACATAGGCACACTATCCATGCATGCATGCACAACTAAATAAAAGAGCCTTTATGATTTACTTAGTAATGGATCACTAGAATCGATTCAAAACAGAAGTGGAGCCATTCTGTTTCCTCAGTGAGCACTTTCTTCACATGCTTTGGTGTGGATGCTTCAGGCGGTGAGTTTGTCATTTCGTTGAGCATATCTGTACGCAGGAGGTGTACATGTGAAAAAAGGCAGCGTAAGTAACAGTATAGCAATTTTTATTGCTGGGGACGTAAGTCAATGGTAGAGCACTTGCCCAGCATGCTCAAGGACCTAGTTCCATCCCCAGCATTGCTAAGTAATAAATGGAAATTAAAAAAAAAATTTTGTGTTACTATGGGTCAGAAAATATTCAAAGTGTTTGGATATACTATTTCATCTAAGTATCAACCCTATCCAATAGATATCATCAACTCAATCTAAATTTTATTATTTATTATTATTATTATTAATTGCTTTTTTAAGGCCAGATCTCATGTAGCTCAGGCTGACTTTAGACTTACCTTGAAACTAAAGCCAGCCTTGAACTTCTGATAACCCTGCTTGCACTTCCCAAGTGTTGTGATTACATGTATGTTCAGATGGGAACATTGCACATAGAATCTAGGGGGACTTGCCTAAATAAATGGCCTAACTAGTGAGCTGCAGAGATGGGGTTTACATGAGACAGTGTAGCCTAAGGGTTCTTGTTCTTACCCAGGATGTATACTTTCCTCTTATATGACAAGCCCTGATCTGTATTTAAATGAGATTAGCCTCCTTCCCATTTTCCCCGGGACAAGAGTCTTGCTATGTAGCACAGATTGGTCTAGCTCGTTCCCCCAGCTGTTGGGCTTACAGGCATGATCCACTATGCCAAGCTGTGTAGACCTTTATAATAAATAAGTCTGTATTTTTAGAGATCTGCACAGGCAGCTCATGGTGGGACATACTCTTAATCCCAGCATTTGGGAGGCAGAGGCAGGCAGATCAAGGTTAATTCAAGGCCAGCCTGGTCTACATATCAAATTCCCACACCTATCGGTATAATTAGAGAGACCCAGTTTCAAAGAAACCAAAAAGATTACCACATGTGTCCTTTTTTTTTTTTTTTTTTTTCCTTTCTTTTAAGTGGGAAGCTCCATTTCCAAACCTGATCTGATCACCTTATTAGAGCAAGAGAGAGAGCCCTGGATGGTGGTGAAGGAAGGCACAAACAGGCCCAGCCCAGGTGAGTAAGAGGAAGAGGGGGCTCCAGCATGGGCAGACACAGCATGTGGTCAGAGAGTCAACCTGACAGTGGGTTGACACACTTCCTTCAGAGTGCCAAGACCTGTTGAAGAACACGGCTGAGACCTGGGAAGGACGTCACGGTCATAGCAAATGCTGTCACAGGGGCTTCGAGTTCATGAGTCACTAAGTTGTTCTCATCTTCCTCCCTCTTGCTGGAGCAGTTACCCTCTTTCTGTCATTTTTAATGTATTTTATTATTGGTTGTGTGTGTGCACATGTGTGCAGGTTCCCAAAGAGGCCATAAGAGAGTGTCAGATGCCCTGCTCGTACTCAAACCCAGGTCCTCTGGAAGAGCCATCTTAATGGCTGATCCAATGATAAGATACTTTGAACACCAGTGAACACAGTACTCCAATGAGGCATAGCAAACATTTTAATTCTGTATCTTCAGTCACTCTAATCAAGGTATGATGGTATAGCCTATGCTTCTCACTGGGGAGGCGGGAGAGGCAGATCTCTTTGTGTTGCTAACACTCAGCCTAGTTTACCTGTCAAGCTCCAGGCAAATGAGAGATCCTGACTCAAAAAGAGGAGACGGACAGGCCAATGGGACAGCATGTGAGTGCACTCTCAACCCGGCCTTCTGCCCAGCTTTGCATGGGGCCTGTGGTGATGCCTCCTGACCACATTTGGGACTAACTGGAACCCAAGCCTCTGGGTTTACCCATGAGAAAGTTTTTCTTAATTAAGTCATTTGAATCGAGAAGACCCACCTTAAATCTGGGCCGCGCCTTCTGGTGGCCGCCTGTGCAAAGGGTGTGAGAGAAGGAAGGCCTTGCCTTTTGTCTGCTTCCCTCACTCTGCTGGCAAGTCCATTCCTTCACTGGCAGGAGAGCCTGCCTCTTCAGAGTCCAGCATGTACCTCAGGCCTGTGGAGACATCCTGCCTCACGGCGTGAACAGAGTGAACAACCACTGGATTCTCGCACTTTGTGTTGTTAGTCAGGCAGTGTTGGACTTGCTGGACCACAGCCTGTAAGCCACTCTCATAAGTCCATATATATAGAATGAAGACTTCTGTTCCTCTAGAGAACCCTGGCTAACAAGGGCACTTATCTGTAATGCCAGGGTTTGGGAGGTGGAAGCAGGAAGATGAGAACTTCAAAGTTATCCTCAGCTGTGTACTGAGCTTGATGCCAGCCTAGGTGACATGAGACCATCTCAAAACGTAGATGGGCTGGAGAGCTGGTACAGTGGTTAAGAGCACTTGCTGCTCTTACAGAGGCCCCAGGCTTTGCTTCCATTACCCACTGGGTTTCTAGCTCCCACATGGAGGCTTGCAATTGCCTGTACCTCTAATTCCAAGTGATCTGGTCCTCTTTTTTTTTTGGCTTCCTTGGGCACCAGGCATGCAAATTTTATATACGCATACATGCAGGCACTCACAGAAACATGTAAAAATGAAAATCATCATTAAAAAATAAAAAATTCAACCAAATTACCACCTCACCACAGCCTCTCCCAAGAAAACAGCTTTAAAAAATATCTAAATATACTGACTATAAACGGTTTTCCTCGTGTCCTGTGTTTATGTATACAACTACATTTTTAAACACTTTTTTGAACTGTTTGATTGTGAGTCATTGATTTGATAGTTGATACCAAGTATTTCATGCCTGCCCTATTAAGGTATTATCCACAATGCCTTTCCGTCAATCCTAATTAATCTAAAACACCCTATTACTCTCGTACTAATAACACTATCTTTTCAGGAGGATCTCCAGAGGGAGTTTTCTTTATGGGTTTTCCATTTTAAATAACATTATGGGGTTGATTTTGGCTTTTTGGACTTTTAGTGTTCAACTTCTTTTTTTTTTTTTAAGATTTTATTTATTTATTATGTATACAACATTCTGCTTCCATGTCTATCTGCACACCAGAAGAGGGCACCAGATCTCATTACAGATGGCTGTGAGCCACCCTGTGGCTGCTGGGAACTGAACTCAGGACCTCTGGAAGAGCAGTCAGTGCTCTTAACCTCTGAGCCATCTCTCAAGCCAAGGTTTCAGTTCTTGATCACTCAACCAGTGTTAGGAATGAGTTCCGTCTCATGGAGTGGGCCTTAATCAAATCACATATTGATTCTTTACTCCCGCAAACTTTGTGCCGCTGTGGGCATGATATAGCTTGCAAAAAAAAAAAAAAAAAAAAAAAA